CACGTAAAGCGATTGAGCCCACTTCTTTCGTTGGCTGGTGGAATCGCCCCCTGTATTGCCACCGGTGATCATGAGGATGTGGCGTTTCTTCTCCTGGTAGTGGGGGTACTCCTCCTCCTCTTCTTCCAAGTTTCCGATCTCCCTCTTCTTGCTGAGGGGAATGGTGTTCGGATTTACCCAGGCATTTATCTTCGTATGGCGCCCTCGGGGAGGTCCCTGATGAGAAGGTCCCTCTTGCCGAGGGCTCTGGACAAACTGGGACAGGTGCCCCGCCTGTATTAATCTCTCGATGGCCGTCTTCAGCTGATGGCAGTCATCGGTCCTGTGCCCCTGGTGCCGATGGAAGCGACAATAGGGGAACTGAGGGTTGATAGCGTGTACCTCCGGGGGTGCGCGAGAGTCGCGCTCAACGAGGCCCCTCTCCTCGGCAAAATCGAGGATGATGCTGACGGGGTGCGTCAATGGTGTCCGAGGGCGGTCCAGGAGAATGGGCTGGGCCCAAGTCTTAGGGTTGCTCTTATAACCTCCCCCGGGCTTGGCTTGGCCTTGCCGAGGGCGGTCATCAGAGGGTCCCGAAGCCTTGGGGTGATTTGGAGGAGCCCCCGGCCCTCGGTTATGCTTGTTGTCAGCCCTCGGGGGCTGCTGGTCCGGATGCTGGTGATACTTCTCCACCTCCTCGGCCTCAGCATATCGGTCCCCCCGCTGCAAAGCCCTTATGTAGTCACGGGGGGGGGTCAATGATGAGGCTCCTTGAAAAGTTACCGGTGCGGAGGACGGTTTGTAGGAGGGCCAGGAGGGTCCCGTCATCAGCACCGTCGACCTTGTCGGCCTCCGTCCTCCAGCGCTCTAGGAAGTCCCGAAGGGTCTCATCCCTCTTCTGGCGTATTGTTAGGAGGTGGGAGAAGTGCTTCCTTGTGCGACGCCTCCCGGCAAACTGTGTCAAGAACCGCTGGGCGAGTTCTTGCCATGAATCGATACAGCCCTCGGGCAGCCTGTTGAACCATTCGTATGCCGGTCCCTCTAAGGTGGAGAGGAACCATCGACACAAATATTCGTCTGACGCCCCCACCATCATCATGCTGTTCTGGTATTTGCTGTAGTGTTCCTGGGGGTCCGTTTTCCCGTTGTAGGGCTGTATGTGTTGCCCTCGGTATTTTTCCGGGATCCGGGCCGTCAATACCCTTGGGGTAAATGGCGTCCGAGTCCGGAGCTGGATGACGGGTTCCCCGGAGCCCTCGGCCACCCTCTTCTGTAACTCCTCCATTTTGGCCATCATGGTCTCGTATTTGAGATCTGAATGAGGGGCGGAGGTGGTGGCGTGAGCTTTGTTGGACTCCATCTCGTCAAGCCGGCGTTGGAGGGCCGCAATAATCTCGTCCCGGGGATCCTTCGGGAGGGTCTCCGCCCCCTGCGAACGAACCCGGGCCGAGTGGGCCTGGTTGATTTGGTGCCGAGCATCATCGGCATGAAGGGGTGCCTTGCCTTTGTCCCGAGGGGGACGCTCCTCGTCTGCCCTCGAAACAGATCCCCCGCTTTCCTGGGGCCTTTGATATGCTTTCCCCCCGAGGCGGTCTTGGACCCCTCGGCGGTCTGGCCCTCCTCCGAGCCGGTTGAGGGCGGAAGTACGGGGCCTTTCCCTGTTGTCATTATGGCGGTCCCGGGACTGAACTTCCTGGGAGGACGTTTCTTGGGCCACCACCCCTTCGTCGTTTCTCACCCGAGGGGTGGGATTTCCGAAGGGGTGTGGTAGAGGGGGAAGTATGATATTTTCCCCGATCTGAGGGTGAGCTGGAGCCAGGGTGCCGAAGGCACCCGGGTTCTGGGTGAGCGTCTGGATGAAGGCGGAGAGCGCCGATTGCACGTCGATGGTGAGAACCGGAGGGCTGACTTGGTCATCGCTCCGGTTTTTCTTCTTGGCCTCGATGCCGAGGTGGGCATCGGGGGCATTTTGTTGGATCTGGAGGCGTAGGTCGACAGCCGCCTGTTCCAGCCCAGCGATGACACCGCCCTCGGGAGCTCTGTGAGAGGCTTCGGGGGCGTTGACGTCGCCGAGGGCCAGGTTCTTGTTTTCTACGTTCTTTGAGTTGGCACGTGTTGTCCTCACCATTTTGATAGAGGGCTAGTGTTTTGTGTTTGGTCGAGGGGGAGGGTTTCTTACTCGATTGTTCAACCTCTCAACGAGGCCATATACTCCATCACTTACTTTTGCTACATTGTTGTATTAGAAAGTTTATTACTTGTTTGGAGAGTGTTATATAACCTATTTGTAATTTGCTTGTGTGGAAGTCTAGGTTGTGATCAACAGATCTTCTTCCATTAAAATTTCAAAATATCTGAACTTTATACATCTCCTATATATTAAGAGCACCGACATTTAAAATGTTGTTGATAGCTGCCTCAGCTCACTGATTTAGTTATCTTCTGAGCTTGTGGATTCATTGGAGCCTTAGAATGATTTTCTGTTTGAACTTTTGTCCAATGGACCTTCTTCAACTGATATTTTTCTTGTACTCCTTTTGTAATTCTTTACCCTGCCAAAACAAAAATATACATATGCATAAAGCTAAAAGTAAGAGATGAGAAACAAAGTGTTGCATTAAAGATTTGTTGAATAATTATGTATGTGTAAAACATGAATGCTCGTTATTGAGATAATAACGAACTTACATGTGAAGTCTAGATTGCTAATGATTTGTGAGAACAATTCTCCACACCTAGGAATATTTATAACCATAATGTTGAGTGCATTCTTGAAAGAAATATTTTGGGGACCTCCTTGAAGATTTTTTTTGACTTTCTATTACGGAGTAATGTATATTGTATATTCCGAGTCCGTTTGGTAACACTAAAATAGGCTGAATTGGCTGATTCTACTGAAATTTATGATGTTCTGGCTGAAGTGGCTGTATTGGCTGATTCTGCTGATTCATGAAAAATTATATTTAAAATATTTGTTATCAATAAATTAAATAAAAAATTATATGAAAAAATAGCTAAAATGATCATCTACAGTAACTACAACCAAAATAGTCAGAAAAGTAACTTCAACCTTACTCTTTATGCTTATTAAAAACTTCAACGCACGAAATCAAAAATTACATGTTTGGTGAAAAAATTGGCTGATAAACGTGATAAGCCGAAAATTACATGTTTAAAAGCACTATGTTGATTGCTTTTCTTTTCATTTTCACATAGAGCATTAATTGGTTGGTGTGACTATAGAGAGGCACTTACTTTGACACTGTTGCACCTCCACATCCACCAATAGAAATTCTGCATCATTGTGCTCACCTCCGATTCAACCAATACAAATAGCTTTCCCAAAGTCTATAAAAATAGCTTTCCTATCTTCAGCAGAGTGCTCACCTCCACCAACAACCATTAGAAATAGGTTGTGAACAACAAATAGATGACTTTTGAACATCAATTTCTTTTGGGTTTATTTGTAAGGAAATAGATGACTCGCTTGATGTTGACATTTATAAGTGGGAACACCGTTCCGCAAAATTCTTTTGCTTTTATACTTCGTATTAGAATAGATTTAATGTGAGTTGGTCGGTGTGATGATATCTAACAACTGCAAAATTTGTACAAAAACTTTAGCATACGTTTGGTATTGTAATCAGTAATGTATTGTTTTGTACCGTTCTGAAAAGGCATGATACCAAATGGTTCCGTTCTTAGAACCGAATCGGATCACTAGCAGAGTCGTCTTTTGACAAGTTCATCATGTTGTCTGGAACGGGGCCCACCATTTTGGGTGGGGGGCAAAATTCCACGTCTTAATATTATTATATAGCAAATTAGAAATACAGTTTTAATAATAATAATAATATATAAATAAAATAAAAAGGGTTACTCACTTGGTGATCATGTTCCAACTGATACTGAAATTCTTGATAAACCAAATGTTGGAGAAACTTTTAGAATTGATATACTTCGTATTTGATATGATTGTATATTTGTTCATATGTGGGCCTCATTTTGATATTCAGAACATGATCTCTAAATTTATTAGACGGCTCTAAACGTTAAAAACCTCACATGTATATTATGGGAATATGGGTTTTGCTAATTTACCGTTCAGGACCACTCTCACGGTCCACCTCTATTTTTGACATGAAAGCATGGATCCGTTATTTGCGCGCCGAACTCCCGGTCTAACAATCTCAACATATCTGTTGAAGTTCTTTCAAATAATCAATTAGTCTTAACATTCAAGAGTACTCTAAGAGAAAAGGTCAATCTAATAGAATTAGTAACCAAGAACATATATATACACTGGTCGAAAAAAACGAGCATATAAACACTGGTTTATTACTATACGTTATACTTGCTCCGTCCCGAATTGAATTGCAAACTTTGACTGACACAAGGATTAAAGAGTGACAATAAATGATACTTCCTTCGTCCCAAAATGATAGTCCTGTATTTCTTTTTTGGGATGTCCCAAAATGATGGTCATGTTTCCCTCTTTGGAAAAAAATATGTGGTCCATATCATTTCACTTTATTATACTCAAATCTCAACCACAACTTTTACCTTTTCAACCACTTTATTAAAATTTGTGCCCAAAAGAAATGAGACTATCAAATTGGGACGGAGGAAGTACTTGTTTTTTACACTTTTGTACATCTTACCAAAAGTAGATGTCTTTAAGTTAATGGAAAAAAGTAAAAGTAAGGGTAAATTTGTCACTTTATTCTTATTTCCATACATAAAATAGAAAGTGAAAAATCATTTTGGGACAACCAAAATAGAAAATTTTACAAATCAAATTAGGACGGTGGGAGTATAATCAGTGTGGAAATAATAATTCCTGACACATCTTTATGTTGGAAGTTTTCTGTCAATGCTGATGCACCACAGCAACCACTAGTTTGTTGTGATACACAAATTATAAATAAATTGTTTTCACTTTTGTGGTGCATCCGTACGTGCACATCCATTTTTTGCATCATATAAAAGGATTTAATGAGTAAACTTTTCATTTCCCACCATTTTATTTCTCTTTTTCTTCTATCTCCCTCCCAACTCTTAGCTTGTGGAGGGAGAATAACACCGTTTATTAATCGATAATATTTTTCTTATTAGTGGATAAAAGGATGGATAATAATAATAGAATGGATGAGGATTATGATTATTTGTTCAAGGTTGTGTTGATAGGAGACTCCGGCGTTGGGAAATCTAACTTGCTTTCACGTTTCACCCGAAATGAATTCAGCCAAGATTCTAAATCTACCATCGGTGTTGAATTCGCCACCCGCACCATTAAAGTCGATGATAAGATCATCAAGGCTCAAATATGGGACACCGCCGGTCAAGAAAGGTAAATATTCAAAGGTTTCCATTTTCAAAATGTTATTTTTATTGATGATAAAAATGATAATGAAATAAAGAGAAGAATTGATGATATTTCTAATGAAATAAATCGATCAAATTGATATCGGTGAAAATATAAAAGAAGGATAGAGAGGAATAATCCTCCTAAGAGAAGTTCAATATATGTGTATGTATTGATCTTGGAGCATTTTCATTCTATATATAATACAAATAGGATGGTACGAAGGAGAGGGGAAACATGCATGTGACCCACATAAGGGTGCCAACTTAAATGAAAACAATACACATGGAAATAATGTAATTGTAAAATATTTAATTGTTTCAATACTCCCCCTCAAGGTGGAGTGTGAAGATTACGAACACCCAACTTGCTTCGAAGAAACTGAAAACGATCGACTCCAAGTGCTTTAGTAAAAATATCTGCCACTTGATTGGAAGTAGAAACGAATAGTGGTTGAATTTCATTTCTAGCAACCCTTTCTCTCACAAAATAACAATCCATTTCCACATGTTTGGTGCGCTCATGAAAGATTGGGTTAAGTGCAATGTGACGGGCTGCCTGATTGTCACAATAAAGGGGTGTGGGGTTGGTGTGGTTAACCGTCAGGTCCTGAAGCAACCATCGCGACCATACTATTTTACTGACAGTGACGGCCATGGCACGATATTCCGCTTCAGCAGAAGAACGAGAAATAACAGATTGTTTCTTTGTATGCCATGATACAGGTGAACCACCAAGAGTAATAAAATAACCAGTACTGGAGCGACGAGTAAAAAGGCATCCTGCCCAATCCGCATCACGATAACCTTTCAATGTCAGGTCATTAGCAGATGATAAAAAAATCCCTTGTCCTGGTGTATGCTTTATGTAACGTAGGACACGTACGATGACATTGAGGTGAGTTTGTCGAGGACTGTTGAGAAATTGGCTGAGCTGACTAACGGCATAAACAATGTCTGGACGAGTTACTGTGAGGTACAGTAAACGCCCAATCAGTCGGCGATAAAAAGAGACATCCACTGGTGGGCTATCATCGTCTTGTCTCAATTTTAAATTCTGCTCCATGGGAAATGTATTGGGGCGGCCTGCTAGAAGCCCACTTTCCTCCAAGATGTCAAGAGTATTCTTTCTTTGGCTTAAGACAAACCCATCAGGAGATCATGCAACTTCAATGCCAAGAAAGTATTTTAGTTTCCCCACGCCTTTTATACTGAATTTTGTGTCTAAGTAATTCTTGACAGTGGAAATGTGAGAAATATCGTCGCCGGCCAACAGTACATCATCAACGTAAATAAGGGCATAAGTATTGATGTGACCATTTTGGAAAATAAATAATGAGTGATCTGCTCGGGACTGGTGAAAACCGATGTCTTGAAGAGCTTGGGTAAATTCATGATACCAGTTGCGTGAAGCTTGGCGTAGTCCATATAGAGATTTCTGTAACTTGCAAACACGAGTGTCACCACTTTTGACAAATCCTTGTGGAATACGCATATAAACATCTTCGAAAAGATCTCCATGGAGAAAAGCATTGTTAACGTCAAGTTGGTGCACAATCCAATTTTGCTTGGCCGCAACCGCCAACATGCATCGCACCGTGACTAGTTTTGCAACAGGTGCAAATGTCTCATGAAAGTCAACTCCCTCAATTTGTGTAAAGCCCCTAGCTTCTAATCTAGCTTTGTAACATTCCACATCTCCATTTGGTTTATATTTAATTTTATAAACCCATTTGAAGTCCACGATCCTTTTTCCATGTGGCAAATGGACTAGAGTCCAAGTATTATTTTCTTCCAAGGGAGTGATTTCTTTTTGCATAGCCTCTCTCCATAAAGGATCCTGTACAGCAGACTTAATTTTTTCGACTCATCACGTGAGGTGATGGCCGCTAGATAGGCTATGTGAGTGGGACTAAATTTATCATAATTAATAAAATGGGAAATAGGATATACCGTTGAGTCAGCTGAATTAGAAGTGGTCCGTGAATGGTCAAGTGAGGGTGGCAAATCAGTCTCATAATCCGCTAGGTGCTTTGGACATTTCTGAATTCTTTTGCCTTGTAATTCACCTGCTGGTTCAACGTATTTAGGAGTCTTGATTGGAGAATGTGGCTCCCCTGCGTTGCATGGCTGTGAAGGTGTAACTTCTGGATTATTTTGACTAGTGGGCCCTTCTCTTTCATTCCCTGGAAGGAGAAACTTTTCAAAAGAAAGCTGGCTGCCCACTTTTGGATCATTTTGGCTAGTGGGTCCCCTCTATCTCATTCCCTGGAAGAAGGCATTTTTCCAAAGAAGGTTGGTCACTGACGTCAAAGTGGTCAGAGACTCCTGTACCTGCCTGTTGATATTGTTCCTGATGAGAGCTTCTGTCTAAAGGAGTGCAACTATCCATATTTATTAGACCACGATGATTTGTATCTGGAGTGCTGCTGCCGTTGTAATTTTCTTGGGCGCCCATCCTTGTTACGGGTCCACTACTTTGATTAGATGGGGATGACCGACTGCCGTTGTCATGATTTATTGGGCGGCTTTGTTTTATTATTACGTAGTACTTCCTCCGTTCTTAAATAAATGCAACAGTCAACATTTCACACTTGCCGAGACACAACTTTGACCATAAATATGAATGATTTTGTATTAGTAAAAAAATTAAAAAAATTAGATTATGAAAATTTACAATGAGACAAGTTTAAAAATATTTTTTTCATTAAATAATATTATTACATTAATAAATAAAATGTAGTCAAAGTAGAACATGTGAATAGTGTAAAAGTCAAAGTGTTGCATTTATTTAAGAACGGAAGTAGTATTTGGTTGTACACTTGATCAACCTGTCTCCCGAAGTCAATATCGGGATTGTCTATCATTTTGAATGGAAAATTTTCTTCAAAAATGTGACATCCCGAGAATTATACGTGGTATGCTTTTGTAAATCGAAAACACGATATGCCTTTTGTCCATATGGATACCCAATAAAAATACAAGGACTCCCCCTTTCACCAAGTTTATCCTTTGGTTTATTGTTGTGTGCATATACCAAACATCCAAATACTCGTAAATGATCATATTTTGGTACCTTCCCAAACAGCATTTCATAAGGAGTTTTATTTGAAAGAAGAGGTGACGGTAGTCTATTAATAATATAGACAGCAGTCAAGATGCATTCTTCCCAAAAATCTATGGGTAACCCAGATTGAAAACGGAGAGCCCTTGCAACTTCCAATATGGGTTTGTGTTTTCTTTCTACTACTCCATTTTGTTGTGCTGTATCAGTACAAGATGTCTCTAGCAAAATTCCGGTATGATTATAATAATCACATAAAACATTGGTTTTAAATTCGGCGCCATTGTCGGTGCGGATTCGCTTGACTTGATGCTCGAATTGTGTATTTATCATATTGCAAAAATGAATCAATAGGTGAGGAACTTCGGACTTATTTTTCATTAAATAAACCCAAACACCTCTAGTAAAGTCATCTACAATAGATAGAAAATGTCGTGCTCCGGAGATTGAATCACATCTATATCCTCCCCAAATGTCACAATGTATCAATTCGAAACAACGAGTTGTCTTAATTGCATTTCTTGGGAAGGGCAGCCTGGTCTGCTTAGCTCGTACACAAGGATCGCAAAAAATATTGTCCCGTTTAAAACCCTTGAGGTAACTAATGTGATGTATCTTTCCATCAGATGCATGTCCCAAACGCTGATGCCATAAATCACAGGTAATAGAGACTGACATTGCCACTCCACTTCTGGAGGACTCCACATAGTAGAGACCATCACGAAATTTACCCACACCAATCAACTTTCTCGAGGATAAATCCTGTAAAATACAAAAGTCTGGGAAAAATGTCAGTGTACAATTTAGTTCGCTTGTTAGGCGACTAGCAGAAAGTAAATTACACTGAAATTTTGGTATATACAGAACACGTTTAAGACGAAGCCCTTTGGGTAAATCTAAACTACCAACAGCATGAACTGGAATTAATTCACCGTTGGGGATTCTAACAGATGGCTCTGGCGTGTGATTGATATCAAAGAGATTGTTATCACTACATGTGATATGTTCAGTAGGTCCAGATGAGTCAATTATCCAAGGGCGGATATGTGGCAATATATATGCCATATTTTCTTGAGCACATAAAGAATTTACTTTCACGATTTCGGCTCTGATACCATGATAAAAATGATAATGAAATAAAGAGAAGAATTGATGATATTTCTAATGAAATAAATCGATCAAATTGATAAATATCGGTGAAAATATAAAAGAAGGATAGAGAGGAATAATCCTCCTAAGAGAAGTTCAATATATGCGTATGTATTGATCTTGGAGCATTTTCATGCTATATATAATACAAATACGATGGTACGAAGGAGAGAGGAAACATGCATGTGACCTACATAAGGGTGCCAACTTAAATGAAAACAATACACATGGAAATAATGTAATTGTAAAATATTTAATTGTTTCAATAATTGATGGATACGTTATAAATTTAATTAATTGATAATCATTAGTTTAATGCATCTTTGTATTTTTCCTTCCTGTCATGCTTAAACTTAAATGGCATGATTACAAAATCGGTTATCTACATATTTCCTCGGTTCTTTTGTAAGTGCAACAGTCCACTTTTTCACATTTACCAATGCATAAGTTTAACTATTAATATATTTCATCCCTTTTGAAAAAATTCAGATTTAGAAAATTTAAAATGAGAAGAATTTAATAATATTTTTAAAAAAAGTAATATGTAATACATCAATAAATAAAATATAGTCAAAGTAGAATATATGAATAGTGCAAAAAGTCCAATGTTGCAATTAAAAGAGAACGAATGTAGTACTTTATATTAGTTTTGGGAGAAAAATCTCGAAATAGGTGTAAAGCATGAAAGAATTTTTCAAATAGGTCTGCTTATGTTTTCTTGCTAAAGTAAGACTCATGCAATCAATTCTATTTTGGGAAGTTTTTGTTGTGAT